CAGCCACACACACACACCACACCCACACACCACACACACACCACACACACACACACACACACACACAACACATTAGAAAGGAAGAGAAGGTCAAAAAACACAACAATCATTGTTGACAGGGATTAAAAAGATACAAAAGAACAACAAATGCGACCACACTATGGTCACAGAATGACGGCAATAAACATCACAAAAAGACCATGACACGATAAGTAAATGTATCACGCGGGTGAATGAAGCCTTAATAGCACACATTCAATACTACATAAAGAAGCTAGATCATTTAGGACTATCATTGATGCTGAATGTTTACGCCATGAAGATACATGAAGACAGATTTAAGATGCAGTGCCACAGCACAGCGCAGACTTGGGTGACAGTTTCCCAAACGAGCAACACACAGATGAAAAGAATAAAGAGTGCACTTGTTTAAGAAAGTTACACCCAAGGGATTCAAAAAACACACACTTTAAATACAATGTTCATCATTCAGACCATTTTTCCTCAAACCGCATGAATGATAATGGAGTGATGAAAGAACATGCAGTGTGGGGGTACAGCTCGTGAAAATTGGATCAGCCAGTGAGCAAGCAGCAGCAGGCCAGCTTTCATGGCATGATTGAGGGGGGGGGGGGAGGGGGGGGGGGGGATCCAGTGTATTGGTTGGGGGCCATAGATAGCGATCTGCATCCCTGAGCCGCCAGTCCTGGGAGACTGGAACCAGACAGCAAACCAAAACATTACCTCTGCTGCCTCCGGCACATAGACAGACCGCAGGCTGTAAAACGAGGCAGTGTCAGTACAGTACAGCCCCAACGAAGAAAAGGGAAAACCACCTGCACTCTGAAGAATACAATCATGTGCACATAGAAACAAAAAACCAGGCCAAACAAAACTTGAAGAACTAACTGACAAAACTGAAATGTTAAACGCAGACAGTGCATAATGTACGGAACAAAGACCGTTGATAAAACTGTGTGGTGTGTTGTTGGTGGCTTGTGGGTTTGTGTGCGTACAAAGTCTATATACGTGGTGTATACAGTGCCAGTGCGTCATTGTTCCGTCGTTGCTTGTTCAGCTTTAGTTATGCTGGCGTGATGGTTGGTTGTTTGTGGTGTCCGTTGTGTGTGGGCGTGCGGTGGTGTCCCAGAGATGTCAGGGGGGGACTTGGGCCGTGTGGTGGTGGGTGTTTGGTTTTGGGTGGTGCCGGTTTTCACATGTCTCCTATACGAGGGTTTTGGGTTTCGGGGTTGTCGGAGATGTGTGGGGGGGGAAGCACAACAGCTCCGATCTTTTGCCCGCGTGTCGGGAATCGCAGAGGTGAGTGCTTGCCTGGTGTGGCGGGTCTGTCTGGCAGGCGTCAGGTTGCAATCCCAGGAAGTGGATGTCCACATTGCTTCACCTGTGACACAGAGAGAGAGAGGCAACGTCCCCAAAAGGTGGGTAAGGAGCATCGCTTTTGACTTTAACACAACTTACAATCCAAAAAGTCCAACCTGGCTCCTAAACTCTAGCTGTAAAGTTCACTTTTGTCTACCATAAAAGGCCAGTGAGAACTTTCAGATACTGGGTCATGACATTGTTTACTTTCCATTTTAGACCTTTGTATCATTTATAATCTAGAAAAACAAAATGCCACCTGCCAGTTTATCCTCTGATAACCTGTGAAGTTGATCTTGACTTCCATGACTGTCCGACTGCTTCACTTAAATTATGATAATCCTATAGACATGTATGTGAATTTGTATTATTATCATATGACCGTTTTAAATAAGGCCGAAAGATGTGTTTGTGGTGATCACCATGGACCTTAATCGTTGACCACCACATTTAACCCAAAATTTGAACAACTTGGACACATAAGGTCTTATGCTAGGCTGTAGCCGCATTAAAGGCAATAATAGACAACTGATTATTGATCATGAAAAGAATGGGTTGGTTCGAAACCATACCAGTAAGAAGGGATGGAGAAGATCCCTAAATGAGCATCTCAAAAAAATCTACATTCAGCACCACAGCCAGACATGAGGCGGTCTTAAATGCTCCATGGTCATGGCCATTTCCACTGATCCATAATTCCATTGTTGAGGTCTACTAGAATAGATTTATATTGTGCAATTTTCCAAAATCACTTTGGTTTCCTCATACAGCAACTCTGAAACTACGTGTATTCACTGAAATTTCACTCTCCTGCCTAACGCTTCGTTGTAGCCTCCAAATAGCTCGCAGCCCCCACCCTCGCCTTGTTGAGCAGTGTGCTCTGATTGGTGCGGAATGTTGTGAATCCGCGCTGAGCCCGTGGGAGGGTGCTTTACTTGTTTAGCGAGTACACAGCGAAAACAGCAGCCAAACTCATCCGAGACACACAAGTCACAGCCAAGTAAAAACAATAAGTGTGGCTTATATTGAGTAAGAAAAAGTGATAAACGCTTGGAGAATGGGTCTGCAGAGAATTTCGCCGCCGAATCACAACCTGTCTGTATCAGCCATGCAGCCCAGGAGGAGAGATCATGCAGCAGAGCTGCATGCACTGAGTGTGTGTGGTGGAGGAAGTCCCGTGAATGGTCAATTTGGACCAATCAAGCAGGGCTTAACGTACGGCTTTGGTCCATTTGGTTCCGGGTAACGCACATGACCATCATGAGTTTAGCCCGGAAGAATCAATGGACAGTGACGTATCTCCAACGAGGCGTTTTGGGGAGGTATTTTCTGTGTTAGAGTTTTACTCGCTACAGGGTGTACTTTGAGGGTTCTGACTCGGAAAAGCATGACATGGGAGCTTTAAGTGATGCTATCCTGCTATCTAGCTTAATGGTAATACTACACTGCTTTACTTGGTGTTTGGGTTCAGCTTTGGATTTTATTTTTAATGCTGACATACAAGATCTGATGACACAGAACTGCTTTGCTTTATTTAAGTCAGTAAAAATATTCATATTTCACTGAGTTTGACTCTTATTTCCTTGCTCAGCTCAAACCAGTCGGTGAAACATATAGCCTTTTGGCAACGGATAAGAAGGATAAAAGTGCAATGCAAATGCTGGGCACTGCAGCAAAGACCACTCTGGCTTGTGTGTGTGTGTGTGTGTGTGTGTGTGTGTGTGTGTGTGTGTGTGTGTGTGTGTGTGTGTGTGTGTGTGTGTGTGTGTGTGTGTGTGTGTGTTGTGTTATAGGTCTGTGTGTGGCAGAAGATGCCTGAGGTAAACCGAGCTGCTGAGACTGAAGGTGCAGACCCACACTCAGCAGATTCCAGTAAGCTCGGCTACCTGTGGCTGGGAATCATTTGCTGAGAGGAAGGAGTCTTCAAAAGGTAACCAAAAAAAAAAGCAGGTTCATATCGTATTCAAAGCCCTGCCAGGAACAACAAAGCCTGAAAGGATGGTAATGGGCTTTTGTTTAAGTATAAAACAACAAGATCAATATACAGAAAGAGAAAAGAGATCTCACCGTTTCATCTCCAGAGCATGTTGCCAGGAGAGTTTCATCAAATGGAGAAAAGTCCATATCAGTCACCAGATCTGATAGAGAGGAGGGAAAAACTATTTGATTTAGAGTCACGACTGTCTATCCTAAATGTCCTTTCTGGGCAAAAGCTTTAGCATTTCTCATGTGCTTGTTTTTTGTGTAGAGACTTTGAGGAGTGTCCTTTAGGGTCGGAGTATTGGCAGTCAAGTAGAGGAAGGAACAAAGGAGGAAAATAATATGATGTGTAGGCAAAATTTAAAAATAAATGTTACCTGAATGGCAGGGAAGCTGTGTGACTGTCCATTGGCCATCTGAACCAGGTTTGACCGAGGACAGTCCCAGCATACCTCCACCTACCGAGACAACATGTAAAACAGTTCAAACTTACATCTTTTGTTTTTACATGAGAAAAATATATCCTTTTTATTTATACTTGATTCAGTCGTCTCCATATCATCAATTGATTACACGAGGACACTTTGTGAGACACAAGCAGTATTGTAAACAATCAGTCTGAGGCAAATGCTGCTGTTGACCACCCATTCATAGCCTTACCAGCCTGCTCGGTGTTAAAGACCACAAACTTAGAGCTGGCTTTGATGTGGTTCCCCTGGCAGGAGAAGGAGCCAGCTCGGACGTTGTTAATCCATCCCTGGATGTGAAATACATAGAGAGCACAAGTAATAAATGAAAATGGATAAAAACATCATGTTGAAAAGTGAGCATCGATAATTGGGGTCAGACAACAGTTGCAGAACCAACTTCCTACACTCAATCTAAGAACAAAATCGCTATCACAACTAGTAGAAACGAACACATGAGATAAACAGGAAGGATCTAGCTGAGAACACACACACGCACACACACTTCATTAAGTGTTGAGGAAGTGGAACAGCTCCCCGTGTTGCACAGCAGATTCAACATTAACAAGGCAAGAGCAGCAAGGGGAATGACAGACATTTGGCCTACAGTAGGATATTTTTAAAGCTTGCATATATATTTACAAGTTTACACAGTATACATATGTGTATGTCAAAACAGTAGACATCACACAGGTATGGAGCATCTTTTCCTGTATAGAAAATATGTATGTCTTTTTTTTTAGAACAAAATGCTTGTCTTAACATGCATTTGAAGTACCATGTTAAATATATTGTAAGTGTATTCTTAATTTTTTAGGAGTAAAAAGCCTGACTATTCTTACAAATGGCCTATAAGAAAGAGCCATGGCACTAACAACTCTGCTTAGTCAGGGGATAAGGAGACAAATCAGCACCAGCCAAATAATACATTCAACTATCCGGTGACTATTCTCTCTAACAATGTGTTAAAGTATTTTCTGAGGAGAAGACATCCCACTCGTCTCATTCCATCCTTGTAAGAATGTCTCCCCTAGCACTGTTGTTCCCTGCCCTTTATCTCTCTTTGACAGTGTTGATATGATAGCTCCCATCACATGACTTCAGTGCTGGAATAGCTACAATCACACATATGCATTGGTCTGCTGAGTGAAGGCCTAGTTTAACATGCATGGCAGCAAAGCACCACCTGCTGTCTCAGATCCTGTGCGAGATTTGAGAGAAGACCTTCCTCTGTCCCTGTGAATACCAGGCATTTTACTTCCTCTGTAAAAACGAGGTATGGGATTACACAATCCACCTCAGCGAGGAGAGCTGCAGGCGTTGCAACTTGAAATGGGTCCCAGAGGACGAGACAAATGTCAATTTTGCATCGCGTCCAGACAAGTCTCACCCTGCAGCCTCCAGGACTCTTATCACTGAGAGAAGGACCATATCAATTATAGCATTTGCCATTCAAATGTTTTATCTTTCCCTTTGGCTGACATAGTAAATCTCTGCAATATAACTCCACATGTGCAGTTACATGTCGCACAGCACCACATGATCATTAGAAAGCAATAAGAAAACTCAGTTAGCTACATTATAATAGCACAATGATGGGCGTCACAGCATCATCTGATGTAGGCTAGCAGCTCTGCCTCTTTGCAACCACATGGCTGGTAGTTTTCACTACGTGTCCATAGTTCGTGTGAATACAAATGAGTAAGTTTAGATATATTCGTGTAGATGTCTCAACCCTAAGCAGCCTTCCAGATGCAGGAAGTTCAACATCCCTTGCAGGCAGGCGTTCCCCAAAACACAACTTAAGTAGCACAGCTAATGACCAAGGCTAATGTTAGCTAGGATAACTGGCTTCTTTCAGACGTTCGCAAGTTACTCACATCTTTCTTGCCAATTTTTGGAGTGGTGTTTTTGAATTTGGAGGTCTTAAAGCGATTCATGCTGATCTCTCAAATTGACTTTCGTGCCTTCCGGGTGTCTCTGTCGAGCTGGTTGGTACACAGGACTCCTGCTACAGCTGACAGTTTAGGTTGGCCGTGGGGTGTCTGCTCGTTTTGCTCCACAGAGCTGTGCGCTTGGGCGGAGCTTTTATTTTCAAACATAGAAATCTCTGCCCTGTCAAACCGTCACTAGCTTCCCCGGCTGTTAAAACATGCGCATCTTTTTTCTTGACACTTTTGATGCTATTTACACACACACAATAAAACTGATAATGTCTGAACACTTTTAGTCAGCACTATTTGTTATCTATTGTAGACACTTGCGTTGAGTTTAAATAAAGTAGCAGAAGGTTTAAGATACACATTTGCAAGTCGTTTTTTTGGAAGAGCATCATCTTGAATGACAGTGAACATCTTTGGCTCTCGGTGACGCCCACTCTGTCCCGCACATGCGCAGTGAGTGCGGAGCAGCGGCTAGTGAAGGAATGATGGCGTCTTCGGCTGTCCGAGGCTCCTCACGCTGGATAACAGTTATCTTGTCCTCTGGATCTCATGGGGCCACCGGTGCCGGTGTCTGCGCTGGCCATGGAGGCGTCCGTAGTATCTCTTCCCTGGGAGCAGGAAAACTGTGTCGGGGAGGTAACCTAATGTGTGGAGGAGCAGGGAAAGCGTTGACATTGAAAGGGGTGTCAGGTGAGTGCTGTCAACGGTACCCGGCCTAGGCTAAGCTAGGCTAGGCTAGGCTAGGCTAGGCTAGGCTAGGCTAACTGTTCTGTAATTGCTGGTTTACTCATTTGACGCAGGATAAAACAACTAACCTAAATGTGATTTATAGGGCTCGATTGATCATTTAACATATGATGAGATTTTAACACAAAACGCATTATTTGTTGTCCACGTAGAGGTAACTTTGATTTGGTGTCATCAAGTAGAATACTCAAGGTGGTGATGCCAGGGTTACGTCTTATACATAACGTTTGTTTGAAATGTAACTTTATCATCATGCAAGCAAAAGGAAAGTGCAGTTGCGGCCTACTCAAATGGTGTATTATATTCTAAGAGATAATAAATAACAGCGACACAAGGTACAGAAATCAAGCAATGTAAGAACACATATAAGCATTATGAAGTATGATGCTATAACTATTGACTCATCTCTTTAACTTGTCTTTTCAATCTGGTAAATTCCCAAATAAAATGAAAATAGCAAAAGTTATACCATTATATAAAACTGGGGATAAACACCATTACACAAATTACAGACCTGTTTCATTGCTCTCAGTTTTCCAAGATCCTTGAAAAGCTTTTTACAAAAAGACTTGACAGTTTCATGGAAACACATCATCTTTTGGACGACAGTCAATATGGATTCAGGAAAGATAGATCAACATCTATGGCACTAATGGAATTAAGTGAGGAAATAGCAAACTGCATGGACAATAAAAAACAAGCAGTGGGAGTATTTATAGACTTACAAAAAGCATTTGACACCATAGATCACAATATTTTACTGATAAAACTGGAACGGTATGGCATCAGAGGGGTGGGATTAAACTGGGTGAGAGATTATTTAAGCAACAGACAACAATTTGTTGAAATTGGTGAACATAAATCTGAATATATGAACATAACTTGTGGAGTACCTCAGGGGTCCGTGTTGGGTCCAAAGCTGTTCATAATATACACCAACGACATTTGTAGAGTATCAAATATATTGAAATTTATTTTATTTGCAGATGACACTAATATTTTTTGTTCCGGTGACAATTTGAAAGAGTTAATGGAAGTGATAACAGCAGAAATGATTAAAGTAAAACATTGGTTTGACACAAACAAATTATCATTAAATATAAGCAAAACAAAGATTATGTTATTTGGAAATCATAAAACAAATCCACAGGTGCAATTAATACTAGATAACATAAACATAGAAAGAGTATTTGAAATTAAGTTCCTTGGTGTGGTTTGAGACCACAAAATCAGCTGGAAACCTCATATCACTCATGTAAAAGCAAAACTGGCTAAAACTATTGCAATATTGGGAAAAGCCAGATACATTCAGGACTACAACTCATTGTATACCCTATATAACACACTGATATTGCCATATCTGATTTACTGTGTGGAGATTTGGGGAAACACGTACAAAACCAACCTACAGCCGTTATGCACATTACAAAAAAGGGCTATAAGAGTTATCAATAATGTTGGATATCTTGAACACACTAATGTATTATTTTTGAAGTCACACATATTGAAGTTTACTGATCTGGTTACATTTAAAACGGCACAAATCATGTACAGAGCAAGACATAATCTACTACCCAGGAAATTAAAAACATTGTTCCTAGACAGAGAGGGTGGGTATAATTTGAGAGGAAATCTACATTATAAACAACTCAAGGTCAGAACAACTCTGAGAAGTATGAGCATAACAATCTGTGGGGTGATTTTATGGAATGGTTTGGAGCAGGAGTTACAAAAAAGCACAAGCATCATTCAGTTTAAAAGGATGTACAGAAACACTTTTTGGAAAAACTATGAGAATGAAGAGAGGTGATTGAAGATGAGAAATTATTGTAAATGTATGTATAAATGTAAAGATGTGAGTAGGAATAACTTGCAGAAATGATTTAAAGGATAATCATTGATTAGCAGTAAGTAAGGGGTGGGAATTAATAAGCATGCTTCCTCCTGCTGCCTTTCGGAAACTTATTATTATTATGAATATTTTTTTGTTGAATATATAAATACATGAATATTGATAAATACTGTATTCTAACAATACGGTATTCTGTTTTTCACATTTATTATTTAGTTTTTGTTTTTTGAAATCTTTTCGAAATAAAGATGAAAATGAAATGAAATATCGATATAGTGAAGTATAATTTTGCAAAGTACACCAGTAAAACACAAGTCTTACTCATTTGGAGTGATGTCCATTGGTGGTTGTTATGCGTTTTACCCCTTGCCCCAACTGGGTTCCAACATTAGTCCAAACTTTCATTATTGTGTCACCACTTACAAATCCCCAAATAGATAACACTGCTTTTAATGTTACCAACCATTTTTAATTGCTATTGGTAGTGCCAGTAGCACATGTTGTACCATTTGCAAGTAAATAATGTTCTGTTATATAAACGTTTGCGTTTCTAGAATCTTCTTCAGGTCAGGTTAACTTGCTGGCCTGTTCTTTACAAATATTTGTGATTTTACACGTATCTTCAGTCACCACTGTACATAACAATGCAGATTATTCAATTTAGCTGTTACATGGTGGCAAAACTATACAGTCGGTTATCAAATGAAACCTGAATGCAGCTCTACTTTTCTAAATTGTATTGACTTACCCTTTTACCCTGGTTTGACTATTTTCAGGTAACAACTCCCCCTTTGCTGCCTGCACACTGTCCTTTCACACGAGTTCTCCTGCTAGCAGCAAGCAGGACTTCTACCAGACCCTCGGCGTACCTCGCACAGCCACCCAGAAAGAGATCAAGAAAGCATACTACCAGGTCTGCTCATGCCTCACACACATTCACAGCTCCATCTTGGATAACCAATCCTCACAGTAGTTAACAGTGTGTTTTGTTGTCCCTTAGATGGCCAAAAAGTATCACCCTGACACCAACAAAGAAGACCCACAAGCCAAGGAGAAGTTTGCTAAGCTGGCTGAAGCTTACGAGGTTTAGAACTTTTGTTCAAATGTTCCCTCGACACTTGTAAATGTTTCTTCAAAATCTCTGATCAGTCTCTTTATAACGTATTAGAATTACACCTCCTAAACCGTGCTCCATGTTTGATATAGATCCTGAGTGATGAAGGGAAGAGGAAACAGTACGATACGTACGGCTCTACGGGCTTTGATGCTGGTCAGGCCGGTGCAGGAGGGCAGCAGTACTGGTCGGGACAGGGCAGCAGCAGCGTGGACCCCGAGGAGCTCTTCCGCAAGATCTTTGGGGAATTCTCAGGAGGCCGTGGCTTTGGAGACTTCAACGCCATATTTGAACAGCCACAGGAGGTTAGTGGGAGACTGTGGGAGTGAAAGGAAGGCCTCAGTGACCTTGATTTCTATTTTTGGTTCTTTGTTACATTTGATTGGTGCCAAGGCACACANACACACACACACACACACATATTTAGAAAAGGTCTAAAAAAACACAACAATCATGTTGGACAGGGATTATAAAAAGGATACAAAAAGACAACATAATGCGACACCGCATTATGTTGTCTTTTTGTATCCTTTTTATAATCCCTGTCCAACATGATTGTTGTGTTTTTTTAGACCTTTTCTAAATATGTGTGTGTGTGTGTGTGTGTGTGTGTGTGTGTGTGTGTGTGTGTGTGTGTGTGTGTGTGTGTGTGTGTGTGTGTGTGTGTGTGTGTGTGTGTGTGTAGTTCTGGAGCAGCACGGGGACCAGCTGCAGAGTCTGAGCTGGAAGCGAGACGGCTCCCTGCTGGCTACCTCCTGCAAGGTAACAACCACATTGACTGAGTTTGTATTGTTGTAGTTACAGTGTGTGACCACTAGATGCAGCCAGTGGCTCACGTTCAGTGCAGTTATCTCACATCGGACTCTGCTGGTTATTTGGGGTTTATTTAGTCAAAATGTCAACAGGGGTAATGCCTATGGGTAATGTCCATTAAAAAGGGTGGGGAGCACATCACACATTTAATTAGAAATCAACAGTTCTCAAGAGGGAAAAGGAATAAACTTTGTAAGCCCTTTGACGCAAAAGATAATAGCCAGTTTGTTTGAATGTGTTTATAATGATGACAAAGAAAGAAATCTTGGCAGGAGTTGATAAGAAGCCTGTTGAGATGTTCCTGGTCAGGCTGGAAACTGTATTAACTTGTTAATAAGGGCACTGACATGGGCACAAGTCTGTGTGTGAAGACTACATATGTTGGGGATTTTGTTTTGCTGACCCCAGAGCCCCACCCCCACCCCTTTCCCCCCCTGTGAACCCTCCTGTCTTCTGGTGCGAGTTTAAGTCCAACCAGGAGTTGACGACCATCAGTTTTGGCATGTACAGTAGTTTCGCTGAGAGAAAGTCTCCCAGGGTTTGAATGCATCCAAAAGGCCCCACTCTCCTCTGTGTCATCAGGAAATAATCACACAGCGTGATGGGCTCTCTGTTAGGTTGTTAATATTCAGTGTAGGAGGCGAAAGGAGGGAGGTGAGTTTATGAGTAGGAGCAGAAAAAGAAGGAATTTATTAGTTGAGATGGAATTTTGCCATGAATATATTTGATTTATAGAAAGACCTAGAGGCGATTTCATCAGTGGAAGTTAAGATAAAAAAAACATGTGCAGTTTTTAACCTCTAATAGTGCACCACAGTGAAATTCATTTTCTGAAACCAGACAGACTGATTGATGTGAAAATGAGGCAGAGGCCTCTGGTGTATACTTAAAACGATACGTGATGAGTTGACTAGTGCGTAGAGACGGAAAAAACGTAATAAACTTTGACACAAAAATCTACAACATGTGGGTAATCAACATGTCTGATTGTCAGTCCAATCCCTGTTGTTTGTCTTTTCTCTGACAAGAAACAAATTACTCCACCTGTCACAGGCTACGTCCAAATCATGACATTTAACTTGACATGATAATCATCCACGACACAGCTACTACCCCTGCCATCAGCCTTAAAAAGAAAGAGGCACCTGAAGAGGGGGGGGGGGGAAATGTGAGCCAAGATCAGAGTCGGGGCCTCTGAGGTTCTTGCCCTGTTGGGCTCTGGTGTCATTTAACCCAGAAGGCTCCTTTCAATCTCTCCAATCCAACTTATTAAAGCAAATAGGGCCCGCCAACATGTGGGTCCAATCCCCCGGCCTTTCCATAGGGTAAACATTGGGGCGCAGAGCTGGTGGGGGGGAAGATGAAGGGGAGACCACCACCCTAAAGAGCAGGAATCATGACAGGCTTCATTTGGACCCAGAGAGATGTATATTTATGACACACTTATAGGAAGAAAGGCACCATTCATTTAGGGGGAAGGCAAATCCACAGGTAGTACGAGGGGAGG